AGCACTTCCGGTTCCATTGTCCTGAAGTCATTAGGTTGTTTTGAATGGGTTTTTAGTTAAATGGCTGAAATAAGGTCTGTGGTAAACACAAGCTCGAGATATTTTCACATTTTATTCAAGACATGCTGTAAAATACACCAGTTATTGGTGACGTTGAAGTCAAACGACCATGGTGCAGATCATGTATAGCCTACATTTAGCTTGTTACTTCTGGTGATTATATTTAAGGTTCAAAATTCATAAGTTATGTTAATTTTTATGTTCATTATGTTAAAAAAAATCATATTGAGTTTTTGTCAAGGGAATTGGCAATTGGGGTGATAGTAACTTTTGGGTTGGCCTACAAAAATACATCTGCAGCACTTTATAAAATTGATTTATTCAATATTTAATGTTTCCTTTGTTCCCACAGGGGAGCAGTACTACCAATATGAGTTCAAACACCAACCTTCCCATGGAGAATGTGACCGCATGACCAAATCCTCACCCTCTGTTGCCTTCACACGTTATACAAACCTGTACTGTGACTTGGATAATGTGTTTGCTCTGCTCTTTCAAGGCAGTAAGTCTGTGTGCATATGTTGTTTAAGCAGGGGGTTCAATAAATGTCCGGTTTGCTGAAATATTCCCTGTCCACCCAGTTCAGGGGCATCACAAAGGACCACGTTTCATTTCCAAAGACTGGATTGGCATCAAACCTCCCATAGATGCAGCAATGGTTGGCCGACTGTACGTAAGCCCTGGTCCCTCACCATCTCCAGCCACCAGCCTGAGCAGGGGCCGAACCAGACAGAGAAAGAAGACTAGGGGCCGAGGAGCCAGAGTGAGCCGTTCACTGTTCTGGGAAGACTTCGGATTGGACTATGAGGAAAGGTTTGTTAATTACTGAGGTCAGTTGAGAGGACATTTGGACAGTAGATGTATTGATTATATGTCTAAATGTGTGTTATATAGGTATTATGGAGCAGAGAAGCGTGGTAAAAACCAGAAAAAGGGCCGTGGAAGACGTCCATCTTTGTTTGACATGAGCTATGATCCAGATGACTACATAGATCATGTGGAGATTGTTCAAGAGAAGGCCACACCTGTGCAGAATGTCTTCTTCTTTAAGAAAGGTACTTCAGACAAAGATAATGTTCTGTTGATTCTCTTTTTAAGGTGCATCATTAAAAAATCTGTGTTCAAAACTTTGTTTACAATGATTCTCTGTGGTAAGTCTAGAATAATGATCTATATTTTGAGCAGCTTTCAGGTTTACATCATAAAAATCTTGTTAAAAAATCAACACCTTGCAAAAAAAAAAAAATAGAGAAGTATGTTTTTTCTTTTTCAAGAAATTAACTTTTAAAGTCGTTCCTACGTAAGTTAACTAGTTTTCACTGTCTAAAGACACTTATAATGTTAAAAACGATTTCTACTTTAAATAAATGCTGTTCTTTTGAACGTTCTATTCATAAAAGAATCCTGAATAAAATGTATCAAAGTTTCCCAAAAATATGAAGCAGCACATTTTGATAATAAGAATCATTGATAATAATAAGAAATGTCTCTTGAGCACTGAGTCAACATATTAGAATGATTTCTGAAGTTCTATTTTTAATTATTTTAAATTGCAATAACATTTCACACTATTACTGTTTTAATGTAGTTTTGATCAAATAAGTGCAGCCTTGGTGAACATTCTTACTGACACCAAAGTTTAGTGTGTATGTTTTATGTTAATAAAACATATTGCATTTGTCATTTTTTCAGTATTCATATTAATATTGTGGAATTTCTCCTCTAGATAAATACTACAGGGTGGACCTGCAGACCAAACGGATTGACTACGTAAACCCTCCTTACCCAAGATCCATTGGCAAATATTGGTTGGGATGTAAAGAAAAGGATTTATCAGAAAAAAGATAAGAAACAAGGTTTTCATATTTGAGTTGAAAGTGAAGATTTTGATGTTATTGCTTAATTAGATGTCATTTATGAGGATTAATCATTACTATCAATATTATAGTTCTCTAAGTATTCCTGATGTGTTACATTACAGTAATATCTGACAATAGTTTTGCATGCATTAGGGAAAAGCTTCTAATAACCTTATTACTATAATGCAATAAGATACAATGATCTCGATTGAACTTCTAAACTGTTCTTGTTATAAGTTTGAAAATACTGAATAATAAACTGAGCAATCATTATTGTGTTATTTTCTTAATTTGGTATGTTTTGATATGTGCAAAACATCAAACTTATTAAATATATATCCTAAAGCAGTACTGTTAGACACACTGGTCTAGCATGCTGGTTAGCAATTTATAATAAGCAATATGTGGTGCAAAAAAAAAAAACCTTTTCAAAATAATTTTTCTAATCTTCACTCAAAGATTATGCTTATGCTGTTATGCAGAATTTGTTGTTTAATCTACAATAAATTAATATTAATTTATTCATCATTTATGCAAACTGCATGCCTGAATATAAGCAGAAAGCTGGTTATTTGCCAATTGAATTGATTATATTATATTATATTATATTATATTATATTATATTATATTATATTATATTATATTATATTATATTGAGGAATCTATTTTTAAGGAACAAAATAAAAAAAGTGTTTGTTACCTAAGTTTGAGAAAAATGCAAAGAATGATGCATGCTTCAAGGAAGGTAAACATGTAATTAGTTTTTCCTAAGATCATAAACAATAAAGAAAAATAAATGGGAAATATTATTTTTATCATGAACCTATAAGAAATTATTAGTTTCAATCTACTATTAGCTATATCTCAAAACAAGCTGGGAGGTTAAGTGTAAGCTTAAAGATGGAAGAGGAAGTTCCTCTGATTTCACATTCTTCAACTCCTATTTATCCCAATGACAATATCATCCTCTAGTGGCATAAATGAGTGTGGCACGCATAGAGAGCAGCAGTATGGCCATTAAAGGGGTCATATGATGCGATTTCAAGTTTTCCTTTCT